AATGGAGTATATGTCATGGACCCCATATTGAGTGTATTTTCATGGACCCAATATTGAGTATATTTCATGGACCCCATATTGAGTGTATTGTCATGAACCCCATATTGAGTGAATGTCAGGAACCCCATGCTGAGTGTATTGTCATTGAACCAATATTGAGTGTATTGTCATTTACCCCATATTGAGTATATGTCATGACTCCCATACTGAGTGTGTTGTTATTGACCCAATATTAACTATATGTCATGAGCCACAAATGGAGTATATGTCACAAACCACAAAATGTGTACATCTAATACACCCCAAACTGAGTACTATATATGGCATGTACCCTATGCTGAGTATATGTCATGAACATATAACATATATGTCATGTTCATAACATGTCATCTTACTGAGTATACATCATGTATATCAATAACATAGTTATATGTCATGGATGGACCCCAAACTGAGTATATATCATGGACTCCATTAACATGGGTATATGTCATGGACCCCATTTTCAGCATATGTCATGGACTACATTAAATTGGGTATATGTCATGGATCATTACTGAGAATATGTCATAGACCCTATTAAATTAGATATATGTCATGGACTACATACTAGGCATATGTCATGGACCCCATTAACATTGATATATGTCATGGATGCCATATTAAGTATATGCCATGGACCCCATCTTGAGCTTATGTTAAGGGTGCCATATTTAGTATATGTCATGGATCCCATTAAACTGAGTGCATGCCATGGATCCCATTAAATTGGGTATATGCCTGAATTGATTCCATTAAATTGAGTGTAAATCCATGGATCTCATTAAATTGAGTATCTGCCATGGATCCCATTAAATTGGGTGTATGCAATTGATCCCATTAAATTGGGTATCTGCCATGGATGCCATTAATCTGGGTACATGTCATGGATCACATGAAATTTAGTGTATTCCATGTATGCCACAAAATTGGGTGTATGCCATGGATTCTTTTTAAACTGGGTGTATGTAATGGATCCCATGAAAGTGGTTGTATGTCATGGATTCTTTTAAACTGGTTGTATGTTATGGATCCCATTCAGTTGGGTATGTCATGGATCTCATGAAATTGGGTATATGACCTGGATTCTATATTGGTTATATGTCATGGATTCCATTACATTAGATACATGTCATGGATCCTATTAAGTTGGATGAATGTCATGGATTCCATTCAGTTTGGTGTATGTCATGGATCCCATTGAATTGGATGCATTTCATGGATCCCATTCAGTTGGGTGTATGTCATGGATCCCATTCAGTTGGGTGTATGTCATGGATCCCATTCAGTTGGGTGTATGTCATGGATCCCATTCATTTGAGTGTATGTCATGGATCCCATTCATTTGAGTGTATGTCATGGATCCCATTCATTTGAGTGTATGTCATGGATCCCATTCATTTGAGTGTATGTCATGGATCCCATTCATTTGAGTGTGTGTCATGGATCCCATTCATTTGAGTGTATGTCATGGATCCCATTCATTTGAGTGTGTGTCATGGATCCCATTCATTTGAGTGTATGTCATGGATCCCATTCATTTGAGTGTGTGTCATGGATCCCATTCATTTGAGTGTGTGTCATTGATCCCATTCAGTTGAGTGTATGTAATGGATCCCATTCAGTTGGCTGTATACCATAGATCACAAAAAATAGGGTGAATGCCCTAGATTCTATAAAATTAGTTATATGTCATAAATCCCATTAAATTGGGTGCATGACATGGATCCCATTCAGTTGGGAGTATGTCATGGATCCCATTCAGTCTAAAGTGTGTGATGAATCTCATTCAACTGATTATAATTCACATCAATATCATTCAGTTGAGTGTGTTTAATTAAACTGAGTATATGTCATCAATATCATTCAGTTGAGTATGTTTAATTAAACTGAGTATATGTCATCAATATCATTCAGTTGAGTATGTTTAATTAAACTGAGTATATGTCATCAATATCATTCAGTTGAGTATGTTTAATTAAACTGAGTATATGTCATCAATATCATTCAGTTGAGTATGTTTAATTAAACTGAGTATATGTCATCAATATCATTCAGTTGGGAACATTTTATCACTATACTGCTATTGAGTTCACAGTTAATTTTTGTTTTTCATGTAGGTGTAATGAAAACAAAATTATCTATTCCAACATTTGCTGAATGCATACAGAAATTGAATATTCACTGATCTTAATAAAGGTATTCAGTCTACCTCCATCATTGTTTTTGTTTTCTTCTTTCATATTTATTGACTCTCCTTTTTTTCTGTCATATTGCACAATCAACTCAACCATACAACTGTAATAAACTGTTTTAGGGGCTTGAGTAATTTTTGAGTGGGACATTCAGTCTAATAATCCAATGAATAATGGTGTCATTTTCCCTGCTTATCTTCAAACTCATTGTTGAGATGTAATAGTTAAGTGGTTAGCATTTTGGAGTAATAACTGACAGGATGCAGGTTTGAATCCTATCACTGGATCAGCTACCATGGTGTGTTGTTGGGCATGTCACTTTATCCAACTGCCTTCGCATTCAACCTGCTTGTGTTGCTGTTCATGAAACATCAAACTATTATCATGATCAAACTCATTATGGCCAAGAACATTTTGCCTTGCGGACTGGTTCTGCAAAATGCTGCTAATGAACAATATGGTAATTTATTGTCAGCTTTGCAAACAACTTTGGTTGTAGGTAATAATGGACACTACTTATTCAAATGGACACTAGGTACAAATGGACATTAGGTATTCAAATGAAAATTCAAATACCAAATTTGTATTAAAATATTTGCAAAAATTTACTCTTCTTTGAATGTTCTGTCATTCATTTCACCTTTCTATGCTTATGGTAACAATTTTGAGATGAAATTATTTTATTTGTCTCCTTTCATCTACCATTTTGTCAAAGTTTTGCTTGAATATACATCTACATAATATAGCCTCAAAGACAGAAAAAAAAACATAAAATCTACACTCTTATGTTGAGATCTGATAAGTGGTTATGTTCTGTTGACTTCAAAGTTCGAAAATCGAATTAGAAATTTCAAATTTCTGAAAGTAATGCACATCCTTCTGATAACATAGTTACTATACCTGTATACTCTCCCTAACATGAATTTGCAATGCTTAATCTCAAAGGATACTAAAACGAAGTTGACTAAAAATTCCAAACATCTCCAAAACAAAAACTTTTATCAGTGTCTGTCAGATCTTCCCATAGGACTGGGAAGATCTGATTTTAATCTCATTATATAACCTAACTAATTACATCAGTCACTTTTATTGGTAATATGAGAAATAAACCAATATCAGTGCAAAAAATCAAGGATGATTCCCTCCCCATCTATGTCAATAAAATGTATTTGAAGCAAGAGGCATTTTGATGCAATGGTCAATTTGAACTCTAATAATGAAAATAAAAATCGCACAAATATTCATTATATGAGACAATCTTTGAAACAATTGGATGCAAATATTTTTCTGAAACATTTTTGTCCAACAGCATGTATCAAATCCCATTTCATGCATTTCTTCCAGGTGTTGTAACTTGTATTAATGTATTGACATTCATTTTTCTCATTTAACAGCAAATAAATTACAAAATGAATGTTATAAACAAAAATCTATTTAACAAACAGACCAATTCTGTTTTCAAACAGCTGTTCAGTAAAGCCTGAGGGGTAGTATGGTTTAACCAACAAACACAAAACTGAGGCTGCCTTTGGTATTAGAGCTATCAATCAGGTCTTTACCATATCCCAACATCAATCAATACTAGCTTATAACTACAGTTTTCACAGACCCAGATCTGCCACTGTATAATGCACCAGAAGATCTGCTTTGGTGCAGTTTGTTAGTAGTAATTAGTAGAACAAATAGGACAATAGAACAAATACCCAAATCTGCAGGTATGTTATGATACAGCAGATCTGGATCTTTGCTGTTTGCAATTTGACTCGGCTTATAAGTGAGTCTGTATGGTATTATAGGTTAAAACAATAAAAAACATAAAGCTGATAAAAGCAATATTGATTCCAATTTTGTCAGCAATTCCAACACTTTACAATTTGTATCCTTTTGATATTGGAATCAATTTGGCTGTTTATTTTCTTTTGGGGTGATTGAACAAACTTCATAAAAATTACAGCCTCCAAAACTTTCTGAACATAAAGTTTATACTGATGACCTGTAAATACGTCCAAAAAAACCAAAACAACAAAATACAAAAACACATTCTTTTCATGACGAAAACAGTCAAGCAAAATTTACATACACCAAAAGTACACAATAATACAGCAAAACTTGTCTTGAAAGACCAGCCCTTCTGCCAAAAAATATTGGTCTCTCAAGACAAGTGGTTTCTCATGACAGGTCATAACACTATAATTGATACGTCTGTACATGGCGAACCTGGTCTCTCAAGGCAGGTGGTCTTTCATAGCAGTAGTCTCACAAGACAGGTTTTACTCTACTATTTTCTTTTTTCACTTTTTGCTTTCAACTGATATTTATGTCATACATGTTACTGTTAAATATGGTAAACAACAATGTATCATGCAGATATCACACCTTCTTAAGTAAGATTACACTAGTGATAAAATCAAGCTTACGGGGGTAGTGTTATTATCATAATGAATTCTACAAAAATACAAATTACTATATGATATCTAACAGCATCTTGATAGGACCCTGAGGGCTAACAGTTACTAGTGTATTTTCGATCAGACAGAAATAAATTTGGAAGTCACTGTATAAATGTATGTGTGTATGTGTGTGTGTGTGTGTGTGTGTGTGTGTGTGTGTGTGTGTGTGTGTGTGTGTGTGTGTGTGTGTGTGTAGCATCTTGTCCCACACAGTCATATGATCCTGACACCTGGCCAACCAATCCTAACCCTAGTCTTTTAATGCTGAGTTCCAAGCAAGGCAGCTGTAAGTACCATTTTTTAAACACTTTTGGTATGACTCAGCTGGGGTTTGAACCCATGTCCTACTGCATCCAAGGTGAATGCTCTAACCACTAGACTACTGTATGACTGGTCATACACTGAGCAGAAAAACAGAGGTGTGAAACAAGTCTGGTGCTATTGTTATAGCTATAATACACAAGACAGTAGTAAACTGTTTTCTTTTGGTGTGTGTGTTTTTTTGTGTGTGTGTTTTGGATTTTTAATGTAGCTTTAACAATTTTTCAGTCATTTCACTATGATGTCTGCAGTGTGGCAGTTTATAGTGATGTCTAACACAGGAGCATCATGCCACAGACATGTAGCATCGTGTCCCACCCAGTCACTTTATTCTGACACCAGGCCGACCAGTCCAAAAACTAACCTCTTAATGCTGATCGTCAAGTGGGGCAACTGTTAGTACCATTTTTAAGTCTTTGGTATAACTCAGCTGGGGAACCACTTGGCCACAGGAGTGGTCTTTTGGTGAGAAGCATTATTCCTTCTGCATAGAGCAGCATGGGGACACATCTTTGCTTGAAAATATTTCTGGCAACTCTTTCATGAAAAAAGAAACACCTGCAGGGTTTGGGATGTAAAACAGACCTAATAAACCCTTCTGCATGTTGAAAGAGATGATCCTTACCTGTCCATGGGCAAATCCTACTCCAAATGAATCTGCACTAAATAATCTACCTTTATCACTGTATCCTAAGACACCTGTCTGCCCCAAACCTAAACCTCTCTATCTTTTGGAATTTTTTGCAATAATTTTGAAACTCATCTGTCCATAGCATTAAGAAAAAAAAATCCATTTATTATGAAACAACATTTATTCCAGCTAAAACAAAATTATAAAGAATCACAGCTTTGCCCCCATTTCAGTCCTCTGTTTTGAAAGTTTATGTTACTTTTCATCTCAATACTGATAAGACATGCAACTTCTATCAATAAGAATATATTTTCAAGAAAACAAATGTCAAAATACATTTAACTAAAGTCAGTAAACTTACTTTGATTAAATATCCTAAAACAGAATGGACTCCATCATTATAAAGTTGTCCATGGGAGTCATTCTGTACAGCACCTTTATGTGAGCCTGCCTTATAATGAATCAAATGATAATTTTTCCTCATTGTACAATGTCCATTGGGAGTCATTTGATATGCCAACCTCAAGTGAGACTGCATTATAATGAATTATATGATACAGTACCCTCATTATAATGCCATCCTTGGAAGCAATACAGTACACCTACTTCAAGTGAGTGTTTGATTTGGATTTTTATTGTAGCTATAACACATTTTCATAAATATTGCTATGATGTCTGCAGTATGGCAGTTTAGAGTGATGTCTATCACTGGGGCATCATGCCACAGACATGAAGCATCCTGTCCCACCTACTCATGTCATCTTGATACCAGGCTAACCAGTCCTAATACTAACCTCTTAATGCTGACTACCTAGCAAAGCAGCTGTTATAGCACCAGTTTTATAAGTCTTTGGTATGACTCGGCCGTGATTCAAACTCACAACCTCCCACATCCATGGTGAGTGCTATAACCACTAGGCTACCGAAATGGTCATCACCTCAAATGAGATTTCCTATAATAAGGTACATGATATGGCACTCCCTTATTTAAATGAAACTATTCAGTATACCACTTTGAAATGACACAGACTACATGGAACACATACAATACTCTAACATTATAATGCTGTCTATACTATGTCCACCTAATAATGCCATTATACTGAGTCCACCTAATAATGTCATTATACTGAGTCCACCTAATAATGCCATATAGTGAGTCCTCCTGATAATGCCATTATACTGAGTCCACATGATAATGCCATTATACTGAGTCCACCTAATAATGTCATTATACTGAGTCCACCTGATAATGCCATTATAGTGAGTCCACCTGATAATGCCATTATAGTGAGTCCACCTGATAATGCCATTATAGTGAGTCCACCTGATAATGCCATTATAGTGAATCCACCTAATAATGTCATTATACTATGTCCACCTAATAATGCCATTATACTGAGTCCACCTGATAATGTCATTATACTGAGTCCACCTAAAAATGCCATTATACTGAGTTCACCTAATAATGCCATATAGTGAGTCCACCTAATAATGTCATTATACTGAGTCCACCTAATAATGCCATTATACTGAGTCCTCCTGATAATGCCATTATAGAGTCCACCTAATAATGCCATTATAGTGAGTCCACCTGATAATGCCATTATAATGAGTCCACCTAATAATGCCATTATACTGAGTCCACCTAATAATGCCATTATACTGAGTCCACCTAATAATGCCATTACATACATGATACATAGAATTTTGATGCAACTTAAAGAAATTGGAATCATCTCCTTACATAAGCCCCTTTTATGATAAAGAGTTTTATTGTGAGGATGTATCGATGATATTCCTTTCTCTTATTGATTAAAAACTTCATCCTTGTGGAATATTCTTGGTGATGTCACAATCAAAACTGGGAATAAAATTTATTTTTTAGTATTTTTCTTGGGTTTTTCCACCTAATGATGGTGGTGGCAGAGACAGCAGTGGGTGGGTGGATGGATGGAATGATGGATGGCATATCCGCACAATATGGGTAATTTAGTATAAATTAAAAGCAAAGTTCCAAAATGAAAACTTTAAGAAATGCACAACAGATTTTAGGAAAGAAAAAAACCTTCCAAAGAGATCAAAACAAGAATAATGCCAATTCAAAGATAAAAAGGTAAAAAGTATAACGAATACATGAGTTGATAACGATTGAAATTCATAGTCACATTAAATGATGAATGAAATATTATCAATTAAGCACAAACAATTAGCGTACATATAAAAATTACATATCAGGAATTGAATTTCTAAATTGTATTACTTCATCTGATCAAATTTTACAACTTCTGCAAATACTCCAAAAAAATTATAAATAAATTAAATATTGACTTCCATTCTATAATACATACCAGGTGTAAACCACCTTCTTCCAAGTGTCCATAAACCACTTAAAAGCCCAAAGAGTCACAGTATACTAAGCTACACTATCAAGACTTGAGTGTACAAATACTGCCTGTATAAATACACCTGTACTAATACTGTCTGTATAAATACACCTGTACTGCAAAGTCGTTTATGACCGAGTTAAGTCAAGGAATAGCAACCTGAAATATGGCCCGGACAAAGCAGACCTAGACTGGATTTATTCTGGACTTGGCTTTGACATAGATGAACAAGGAAATCATGAATTACTATACGTAATGGTATACAAACATAAAAAGAAAGAAAACTAATATCAAACTTGAAAGTTAACACAATTAGGTGCACAAGACACATGAATACACCAAGATGGCAGCCAACAAACAGTTGACAGAATCGGAATAATATTTCTACACAGAATAGAAGGCTCTTACCTGAAATGTACATATAGCAAAGGAACGCAAGAAGTAGATACAACAATGATGCCGGTAGACAAGAGACCTACAATGAGTGAATTGATGGCAGCTTTCCACACAAGAAATCAAAATTTTGTCGATTTAACTTACAGTATTAGCACAACGAGGAAAGAATTTATAATAAGACTAGGAACTGAACCAGTTATGCCATATGGAGAAATGAAAATTGTAGAAGAGACAGTCAGCACTGAAAAACCAGAACCATTTCTGAGGAAAATCAAAAAGAGAACAGGAGAACTGCACATAATCGAAATACCCATGGAAATTCCATTAGAAGTGACGGTGGAAAAATTCCAAAAAATGTTTAAAACCCAAGCTATCAATGTGAGAATAGATACTATCCTGGAATACAAAATAAAAAATCATAATGGAGATTGAAAAAGAAAAAATATATACCATCAAAAAAGTATTCTTTTTACATGGGTTCTTAGCAAAAACTTGGTACAAAGGCTGTATCTTTCATAGGAAATGCCATAAATGTGGGGAAGTGGGACACAAGCCCAAGAGATGTCAAGTTGAACAAGAAATGGCACAACAATTTCAACATGTACGACTGACATGCCACATTAGTGAGATAACAATATTTCCAAAACAAGCAAAAGACAGGCAAACAGTGACAGAAAAACAAAAAGTTACTCAACAACAACAACAGCAACAGAAAGAAAAAAGACAACAGCAATCAAATATGCAACAACAACAAAGTAAACCAACACAAGAGACAACGGTGGACCCAAAACAAAGTCAGCAGCAATCCCAATCTACACAACAACAACAACCAAGTAGGGAACAAAAACAAAATCCCAAAAAAGTAGGAGAAAAGCAAATAGTAAATACACAGGCGAAAAAACATAGAGAGAGTAAAAGAGCGAAGGAAAGCCTTGAATAAAAGACCTGGGGAAAATGTATCAAAATCAACATCGGAAGAAATGGAAAAACCTACAAAGAAAAAGTGCAAGCTATCACAAGATGAAGATCTAGAGGATACACGTTATGGACTAGCTGAGATAGAGGACGAGGAAATAAATGCAAAGATATCCAATGGACACTGAAGAGTTACTGGACAAACAATAAAAAAAATAAAATATAAAAAAAAACAAAAAACCCACAAAACACTATGTATGTATGTATGTATGTATATATATATATATATATATATATATATATATATATATATATATATATATATATATATAAATATATATATATATATATATATATATATATATATATATATATATATATATATATTACAATTAACTAGGAAATATACAATTGATGAAAAATTTCAAAAATATAGCAAACACCTTTTTCATTAAAGAAAAAATGTAAAGAATAACAAACACTATCAAATTAGGCCTTCAGGTAAAAAAAGATACGGAGGTGGAGCCCCTTGAATGGTCTGAAAAGATCAGATGAGGGCTACCCCCCAAAAAAGTATAAATATACCTGTACTAATACTGTCTATATAAATACACTGTACTAATACTACCTGTATAAATATACTGTACTATAATACCTAGCTCCCATTTCCTTAGTATGATATAGTGGATAAATGTGCACATAAAACCCACAAAACCAAGAAAAAAAACTATATATATTGACCAATC